TTTTCATTCATGTGGTGGATTGTTGGAAAAAATTGAGTGAGCGGCTAACTTTTGGCACAATTTTGAATGGGACCCGTTGGTCTGATGTGGAATATCAAAGTTGATATGTGTTCTCCTCCGCGAGAACATCGATTTCATGTATTTATTTGTCAAAAATGAAGTTCGGGTGAATGAGAAATTGAAGTTCAAAGTTGGTCATTGGAAGTTGATTTTGTGGGAAAAATGCATTTATCCTACATAGGAAAATCAAGGAAATTTAAACCACTTTATATATGGCTATGCTTTGGAGATGTGTAATCATGTATAGCATAGAGGCTCTCTCCACGTGTGCGCGCAGGGAGGTACAAATCATGAACTGAAATGGCCTTCGGACCTTGAACTTGGGTGCGGGCGTGACCTGCGCACACGAATGTCGGACCGAATAAGGCAAAAATGGCCCCATCGGAGAGCCCACGTTTTGCCAATTTTTTTTTACTTTCTCCAATGACTTTTGAGTTTCTAAACTGAAAAAACTTCAATGGACTCCTAATGGTCATAGTATTAATGGGAAGTAACTCCAATGGACTCCCAATGGTCACATTATTAATTGGCAGTATGCCTATAAAAATGCTCATTCTCCAGCAATCTAACACACTCAAAAATCTCACCTACATTCTTGCATACACAGTTTCTTCTTTTTTGCATTCTTCGTCCAGTAAGGTCTTGTTCTTGTGGTGATATTGTTCGGATACTCTATCAGTTCGCCGAAGTAGGACCGCAATGCTCAGGTTCTGCTTATTACCGTTGTATCCTGGGAGACAGCCGCTCGAATTGAACCTCTAGCATCTACGGTGAAGAGACGAAACTGTCTTAAGGAAACTGTGTACGCACAGGCCTTGGTTTGAAATCTGCTGCAGTTTGTGTTTTCTTTCTACAGATTATTTTCGCATTACTATTTAGTTCATGCAGCTTGTAGTTCCACAATGTGCACCTTCCAAATTCATAGTTTACAGTTTTAGCTTGCAGTTAACTTATATTTCTAATTTTGTGTTGCTAAACATTTTTTTTCAGTCGTTAGAAAATTTTCAAACGGAATTTTTTTTAATAAATTGAAATCGTTTGCCTTGTGGTTATTAATTTCAATAGTCGGCTATTGCAATTGAATAAAACTTATACAATTGATTTCATCCACTAGCGACTTGTTTTCCTACAAAATACGCAGTCAAAATTATTTATATGGTTGATAAAATAGAAGAAATTAAGAGAAAGGTATGGTTATATTAGAGTTTGGAGTTATCAATGACAATTAAGAATTAAAAATTAAAAAAAATTAAAAAAAATATATATTTATATTCATTTTTGCTTTTAAAATTCTATTCAACGACTAAACATGTTTTAATGTAGGGTGATTAGCTCAAAATGTCCATACCTTTCGAGTGTATTGTGGAAAATGTCCATACCTTTCATTTTTTGACATTTTTGCCCCTATTTCCACATTTCTTTGCGTCAAACGTTCCTTTCGTTGTTTTTTGATGTAAAATGATCAATAAGCTCTCCTATTTAAATAAAAGAAAAGAAAAAATTGCATCTATAGGCGAAACTTCTAAAAAAGTGCAAATGGGCCCCTAAAATTTCACCTTCTTCACATACCTCATCCCCACGCCACTGCCACTTGGCGACCATTTTCAGCCACCTTATGGTCAGCTTGGCTACCGGACCAATATACCAACTTGAAACCCTCACTTTCCTCTTAACAACCCACCCAACCACTGATCGAAAAATTGCGCCAAAATAGGCTGCTTACGCAACATGAGACAGCCAAAAATGGAGGTTGGAAACTCCATTTTCGACGGTACCCATGGCACACCCATCCTCGAGGTCGATTATGCTCCTCATTGTGCTCCTATAGATGCCTTCATATCATTAAACAAAGTTAAAAATCAAAATCTACAGCCAGAAAATTAGAGTTTGCATTCGGTCGGTAGTTCTTGAGTTCAATCTTGAAAATTGATCGTTTGGTTGATGAATTGATGCAATTGATGGAGGACCCATAGTTGTAACAACATTAATTGACGATTACATGCTAGAATTGGTGGATTGAAGCCTTGTAGCATCATCAATCGAAAGGGGATCGGCCGAGTTTCTTTGTGTACGAATCGTAGAGGCTATTTTTACAATTTTTGGCCAAAATTGGTGATTTCCCATAGGTTCATTAGGTTTGCCTTGAAGAAGAGGTGCTAGAAAGGGTGGTTCGCGATCGTCGATTGTGAAGCCGACATCGAAAAATGTGTTTGAAGTTGCCAATTTCGCTGTTGAAGAAATCGCCTGGTTTTACAATTTTTGGTTAAAGTTGACGATGACCCATAGGTTCATTGGGTTTTACTTGAAGACGTGATGCTAGGAGAGGTGGTCCGCCGTCGTTGATCATGACGTCGGCGTCGAAAAATGGAGTTGAATTTGTCGATTTTGTTGTTGAAGTTGCATGGGCAACCTATTTTGACGATATTTTTCATGCCAATTCCTTTAGATTTTCGGCTAGTGGTTGGGTAGTTGTAAAGAGGGAGGTGAGGGCTTCAAGTTGGTATGTTGGTCCGACGGCCAAGCTGATTGGAGGTGGCATAGAGGTGAGTTGTGGGAAAAAGATGAAGTTATGGGGGGTATTTGAACTTTTTTAGAAGTTTCGCCTCTAGTTGCAATTTTTTCTTTTCTTTTCTTTTTTCTTTTATTTAAATAGGAGGACATATTGATCATTTTACACCAAAAAAACAATGAAAATGACGTTCGACGCAAAGAAATGTGAAAATAGTGGCAAAAATGTCAAAAAATGAAAGGTAAAGACGTTTTCCACAATAAACTCGAAAGGAAGGGACGTTTTGCGCCAATTACCCTTTAATGTATATATTTATCGACAAAAATTAGGAAAAAACGAGAATAGCCATTCTAAAATTCTACACTAGATATACAACAGGTCTAATTATTTTATTATAACTTCTAATAATTCTGAAAAAAGAGTTATATTATTTGAAAAATATATTGTAATTTTGTTTTGTATCTTGTATAGAAATTATTTTTGGTCAATATAACATAATTAAAAGGACTGAGCTACATGTACAATCAAGCTCAGATTGTACATGTAAAGTCTCTCACATGTGAGGGACCCAAGCTCAATAGAAAATTTGCGGGCCTCCCACATTTGAGGGGACACAGCTTGGATGCACAAGCATCAATTTCCAAATTAGAATATAACTAGCTATTAACCTCAGTATTTAATCATCAAATCCTTACCCGATAATATAAGAGAAAATTACTTGAAAGCATGTTTTTTAATTTAATTAATTAGGCCTTAATATTTTTTCCTTTCAAAATTTAGGTGCTCAAATGAACGTACCTTACACGTTCTACAATTATACATCATACTAAATTATAATCACACAAATCATAAGTCAAAATTATTCATCAAAACAGGTCACAATCACAAATCATATTATTTTTGAAATTGTTTTTTACAACTTTGTAAATTTTGAAATTGTATAATCAAAATATTATAACTCAAAATTTCCCAAGATTTAGACATTTGCAAACACTTCCAAACAAGCCATGCCCAATGACTAAGAGTTTCAAGGCTTGATATATTAAAGTGAAAATTACACCACACCATACTTCAAAAATTCAGAATTCTAAAATTAGATTGAATATTTCATTGTTCAAAAATCAGATCTTTTATTTATTAATTAATATATATATATATATATATATAAATGCACCAAAATCCTAAAAAAGCAAAAAAAATAAAAATAAAAATCATAACCCATGTCCTCTCTCTCTCTCCCCTGAAGCTCGATGGCTTTGGTAATAAGTCGTGGAAGAATGGTGGCTCCGACTCCATCGATCGTGTGAGACGTTGCTGTAGCAATTGCACGCGACGCTGTACTTGTCGCTCGACACCTCACACACGACACACACAGTAGCGCCGTGGGATGGTTTTTTTGTGATGGTGTTTGCAGGTGGTAGTCGTGGTGGTGATGGCGATTCAGGAATTTTTTTGTGGAGGGTGGTGGTTGCGAATCGGCATTGTTGAAATTGTCAAAGCTATCACAACTGTAGTGGCCGTGGAGGCCATGAATGATGGGGGTATCAGTCGGATTTGGTACCACCGCAAATGGTGAGATGGGGTTAAGGGTGGCGGTGGCAATGTGTGCTATTGTAATGCTGTGGGTGTGGCAGTGATGCGATGGTTGGGTGAGTTCTATGATGTGGTGGTGGTGGTGGTCCTGGCGCGTGGCAGTTTTGGTGGCGTTGCGACCAATAACAGTGGTGAAGTGATGGTCACAAGTGTAGATAGTTGTCACAAATGATTTTGTTGACCATGACAAATAAATAGCACATGATCAATAAAAAAGATAAATTGTGACAAAAAATAATGTAACTTAAAATTTTGTTAAATTGTGATCAATAATTTGATATTTTGATTGTATAATAAATTATGACTTGTAAAACTTGTGATTTGTGACCGATGAACAAATGATGACATATGAAATGTTTGATCTGTGGTCATTAAATAATTTGTAACTTATAAATTTTTTTATTCTTGAACGAAAAATAATACGTGACTAACTAAATCGTTAGTTCGTGATCAAATTGTATAGATAATAAAATATATAATTAATTAATTAAATCATAAATAAAATTTATTTAATATCTAATTTTTGAAATTTTTATTTTTAGTTTTGAAATGAGTAAAACTCATCCTCCTCCTTATGATTTTTTCCTATGTTACGTCATCGTTTGGCTCCCAATTTTTTGAAATGAAAATGGGTGAAATAGTAATTTTTTTTTAATTGAGTGGTTGAAAAAAGAAGGAAATTTTTTTGATTTACTTGTAATATTATTTTATGAAAGATTACGTGGTTAAAAATAGAAGAGAGAAAAATGAAGTGTAATGGAATTTAATGTAATGGCCCAAATGGGGCTAAATCCAGGCCCACTCTAAAATCCAACAGCTACCTATTTATTCTGGAAACCCTAGTCTCGTTTAATCCTCCACTCCGGCACTCATCAGCTGATAAGAGGGCGCGAGAGAACCGAATCCCCACAGCAAAAATGAAGTACAACCCACGGGTCTCCTCCACCAGGCGCAAGAACAGGAAGGCCCACTTCACGGCACCGTCGAGTGTCCGCCGTGTCTTGATGAGCGCTCCCCTGTCCTCCGACCTCCGGACAAAGTATAATGTTCGTTCTATGCCTGTCCGCAAGGACGACGAGGTCCAGGTTGTCCGGGGTACGTACAAGGGTCGCGAGGGCAAGGTGGTGCAGGTTTACAGAAAGAAGTGGGTGATCCATATAGAGCGGATAACCCGTGAGAAGGTTAACGGTTCCACAGTCAATGTCGGCATCCATCCATCTAAGGTAGTCATCAGCAAGCTGCGCCTTGATAAGGACCGTAAGTCTCTTCTCGAGCGCAAAGCCAAGGGCCGTGCCGCCGCCGACAAGGATAAGGGCACAAAATTCACCGCCGAGGACATCATGCAGACCATAGATTAATTAATTTAATCTTCAACTACGTTGGTATTGTCACTCGATTTTATTGTTGGATTTAATTTGTGCGTGTTGAGGTCCTCGAGGAGATGAATTGAGTGAAACTATGTTGTCGCTACTTCGTTTTTGTTTAAATTTTCGTACTAGGAGACTTTTGGATATTGATTGTGCTTTATTTTTCGCATGGTTTAATGAAATGCTTATAGCTCGGTTTATTTATATTTCTTGAATTGAATCATCTTTTTTTTTTTTTTTTGGACTTTTGTTGCCATCACTGTTTAGTTTTTGTTAGTTCTACGAGTTTATGTTAAAGAGAGGAAGGGAGAACGCTTTACTATTATTGTATTCTGTGACTCAATTAGGGTTCTGGAAATTTTGATTTCGAAGCTGTTTGAGCTTTATTTTGTGCGTTCAAGTAAATGCCGGTAGTTATGAATCTCAAATTTTGGGTTCAGTTGTGATAAATTTCACTGTGATCTAATAATTTTGCATAATTGTATATGCTTGTTTAAGTTCTCTTGGCTATTTTGTGATTCTTGATATTTGCTCTCGTTTATACTACATTCTTGGCATGTCATGCTGATATTTTTGCCAGAATTGTTGTGTTGTGCAATGGCTATTTGCTTATTGGTACGTGATATTAAAATTAAGAAATACTTAACACTTACTATGGGAAGGTTAATTTTTCTACAAAATTACTTGACACTTGCAAATCAATGATTATTAATATGGTCATCAAAATGGATAGTCATCGAATTTTCTGTTAGCATAAATTAAGAAACACATACATCCCAACCCGCTTGTGTCAAGATGAAATATAGAAAGAACTCAAAACCAAAGGAAATGAGTGTGTGAGAAATCCATCTAGAGAAAGTGGTACCAATATAAAATTAAGCAAATTGTTGATGAGGTGCCATGCTGGTCAGGCTAAATAATTCAAAACATAAAAAAATATGTATATTCCTCTTCAGGAAAGGAAACAAGAAGATTAATAAGAAATGGGGGGAAAAAAAATTAGAAAAGGGTAATAGGAAAAGCTCCTAGTCCAAGAGAATACTTGAAAGATATTTAAACAAAAATCCGTAAATTTATTGCAAACATTAAGAGTTGAGAAGAAGAACGTATGTAGTGCATTCCTCAGAATTATATAATGTAAAAACCCTTTGCAAAATTTAGTACCCCCCTACAGCCACCCCAGATAACTTTTACCGTCCGCCTCAAGCATTTTGGAGATTTATGAGATCAACTGATAATCAACTTTGATAGAACGAGAAATTGGGTTTAGTCTTGGAGATCTTATTACAGGTATAGATTTCATATTTTCTCGCTTCTGATCTCCGATCTTCAATTTCAAGACTTTGTTTGAGAAATCACATTTTCCCGTCTATCAATTTCTCTGTATGTAGAGGTGAACTAAATATGTGGCAGCATTCTCAGTTCATTACGCCGGCGGAGACAGCACGAGCGGCCACAGGCCTAGCCGGGTGCCGGTTCCGCTGGTGTGCGGTATTAAAATTAAGAAATGCTATGCAAACTTTTGTTATGTGAATATGCTGTGAATTTGTTTTTCTGAAGTTCAATTACTGTGCTTTTCGTTATGTAGACTAATTTGTAAATGAATTGTCGCAGCTAGTTATTAACATAGAAAGGAAGTGCTCCACTTTGTTAGTATCTGATAATGAAATGTGACACTGAAGACTCATGGCTGAATTGTGACATGTTAATTGGGGATAATTTTGTATACTGGTATATTTGAACAATTAGTTTACCTTTTTTTTTTTTTACGGGATCTATTCAGTCTCTGTCTCCCTCCTTAGGAAGTGCAGAACATATCCATTTTTCTCTGGAGATGCACGAGAATCAGTTTGTCTCTTAACTACGTTGCAGTGAGAGATGGCTTCTACCGTCCATCTTCCACTGCACAAGCAAAGAAACTGAGTATTTTACTCTGTCCATGGATGATGAACCCACCCGTTTCTTTTAATGTTAGGGCACTGTATAGCTAATCAATAGTAGGCCGACCTTGTTCATTTTTTCTTTTTTGTACTAGCAAGTGCCATGTTAAGGTTGTATATCTAGACCTCCTCCAATGCTGGGACAGTGACGTGTTGTTCCGTTCTTATAGTTGACTGGTATTTTCATTTTTAGATAGTTTTCCATAATGGTTTTTTACTACAAACGGCTTGTTTGCTTTATTTGTTATTCGATCCCAATACGTTCTTTTCTCTTTTCCTTATTTATTTCCTGCCCTCCCCGCATTGATTGATGAAAGATAGGAATGTCAATAAGGATTCCAGGCTGGAGGGCCAGGATAAGTTGTCATGATTGGAGAAGGTAGTGTGAGGGATGGAGTGGTGGGCGGGACATGAGGTAAATTGAGGAAGAGAGTTGAGGGGGTGTTTGGACATTGTTTGGGAGTGAGGCAGAGGTTCATGAGAATTGGCTGGGAGAACTCAAGTTTAGCAGTGATGGATGATCATGAAGGCAAGTGTCGTTGGGAAGATAAGAGGCTCGAGTTGTAGGTATCAATGTAGAGTTGTTTTGCCTTTTCTTGTATACTGTAAAACCTAGACCTTATTCAAAGTTTGGTCTAAAATTTCCAAGTTTAAGCGCTTGTTTGTAGGGATGTTAAACCAATTAAAATCAATATTTTGACCGTTATTTTACTATTTCAGTCGTCATTTTTGAATTATTCTCTTACAAGTAGAATTCACTTTATCTCTAACGATAAAAAAATCAATTAACAAAATCCCCACCAAAAAAGCTCTAAATATGCTTGTCCTCTTAAAATTTCAAAATATAAGGGTCCGTTTGATTGTAAGAATGGAAGTTGGGTGTAAAGAAAATGAACTTTAGGAAATTGAATTGTTTAGAACTTGTTTTATTGGGAATTGTAAATTAAATGTGTGTGATTGGTATAATTTTCTACTCGAAAAATGTTGAAATTTCGGCTTTTGATGTTTGTTTGGATTTATATTTCATGAAAATTGTTAATTAAAAGGATATAATTTGTTACAATTGTGGATATAATTTGTTTCCATTGTAAAAAGAAAAAAGAAAAAAGGTAGTTGGAAATCCAATTCCCGCCAAAACCAAAAGGAAATTGAATTCCTTGAGATCAAGAAAATAGCATCACGTGGGGATAAATGGAAAATCAATTTCATGGAAACTTTTGGCTATCAAGAAGATGGAAATTTTTTTCCATTTTCCATGGAAAAATAAGGCTATCAAATAGGCAGGTTGGAAAAAATGCTGTAGTGCTTCAATCACGCGGGGCTCGCGCGATTCACATTGGGGACACCTTGGCCCCTTGCTCCAAATCCGAGATTTTATCCAGGGTTGAGCAGCATTATTCGAAAAATGTGGCGAGGTTTAGATGAAACTTGCTTTATACGAGTTGCATTTAAACTTGGCAAACATTAAAAATTGATTTTAAACTTAATTTTAGTTTTGAAAATTACAGATTGTACATGGAAAATATGGTCTTAGCTTTTGGATAAAGATTCACTCCTCTTCCCTCTAGTTCTTCCTGAGTTGTTGTTTGTCTGTCATTATTTCAAATTCTCTCTCTCTCATTTAGTCATACATTAATTTTTTGAGCAATACATACTCTAAAAATTCACTGTTTCAAAATCATTTTCACTTTATAATAGTAGACAAACAGGGGCTGAGTACCTTCTTATTAGTTTAGGTTCTAGCTTTCATGCAACAGATTTCTCTATAACTGCAGATCGAGAGGTTACTTGATGACCTCATTAATGGGATAATGAAACTAATACCATTCTATAGCAATTGCCAAAAACAATAGATGGCAGGAAGTGAGACCGGCTTTAGAATATGTTTAAGATGCGTTAAAAAAAAATTCGTTCTCTTTCGTCATACAGATATAAACTTTGTCTATAAAACAAGTTATAATGCACAAAAGATTAGAAATATGGCAAATATTAAAAAGAAGAAATGCCCAGTTAATCTCCATATTATCCTTTTTAAAAAAAAATACTCATTGAAAGAATCTATGCAAATATATTTTTATTGATCATTAATATTTTTCGATTATTTCTTGAATCAACAAAAAAAAAAAAAAAAAAAAAATTTTTTTTTTTTTTTAATTAAAAAAAAAAAAAAATTTTTTTTTTTTTTTAATTAAAAAAAAAAAAAAATTTTTTTTTTTTTTTAATTAAAAAAAAAAAAAAATTTTTTTTTTTTTTTAATTTTTTTTGTTTTTTTTTTAAAAAAAAAAAAAAAAAAAAAAAAAAAAAATTATGAACAAATCCATTTACTATAATGAAATAAATCAAGAAATATATAACCAAAAAAATAAAAAAATCAAAATCCAATTGAGTTTATTTCCATAATAAAAAAGTCACTTTATAATATTACTAATAGTAAGACAATTTCACATGTTTTTTATGATTTATCGCACTTTGTCATGAGCACATGTATTTAACAAATTATCATAGACAGAAGGGCAAATCATGAAGTAGAGGAATAGAGAAATGAAAAGGGACAAGGGCAGCCATGTTTGATGCAAAGGCTGCCAAATCGCGAATAGAGTACAGTTATAAAGGTCCTCATAGACGATTTTTATTTTCAACTATTGTTCACTGTCGATCTCTCGTTAATATAGCACCCTATTGTTTACTTTATCGAGATTTTTTTTCCTAGGGATTTGTTGGGTAGCCTGGTTGTTCTTCTTTCGTTTTGAGCAGGAAGCTACGTGATTTATCACTGTCTTATGCTCTTTACCGTGTGGACAATTTTTTGGTAGAGAACTTTGATTCGCTTGGCCAGCACATATGGACAATTTTACACAGAAAGGCAACTTTCTTTGTAGTCTCGTTACAAAATTGCTTGTCTAAAAGAGCTATTTCGCTATGTAGTCCTGCTGCTGTCTTGGTGACCGAACTTTTTTCCCTTACTAAATTTAAATTTGTTCTTCTAGTCATTTAATTATTCAAAAATGATATTTGTCTGTTATTAAAGTGAATTTTGTTAAAATGGTTGCTAAGATAATCAACAAAAAACATTTGTTGTCAATGCTGTTAACTTTATTCAATTGGGACAAGTCCATTTCCAAAGGGGTCGTTAAAATTTTCTGTTGGGTTTTTGATACCCAATAAATCTCGGACTATGATGTTAACGTGGGTTAATATTATTTCATAAGCATATGCCGATGAATGAAATAAGTACAACAACCAAGTCCATGAGCTACACCCGACCC